TTTGTTTGTTGAACTTTTTAATTCGTTTGTAGAAGCCTTTGAAATTATAAAGTAGAATTTAGGAAATTTTAAAATTTATACAAACAATTTTGTGCGTAGAAATAGAAAACTTGTTACTACAAATTTATGAGCGCCAGGTATTGGGAAATGAAAGTATCGTTTTGATAACGAAAAATCCGGATATTCGGATAGCCGAATATTATCTTAGCTTCCAGAGTAACCGGATTTTTCATTTAGGTATCCGGATATTCGAATATTCGGTTTATCCGGATAGTAGAAAAATCCGGATGAAGTTCCCAGCCCTAATCTTTATACATAAAAATGAATTGCTGTTCGTGTGTTATCGCATCACTCAAGAACGGCTCAACGGATTTGCTTCGTTTTTATCTCGTTTTGTGTCTTTCTATCTGTAGAAGGTTTGTAAAGAGAAAATTGGCAAAATGGTGTTGCCAGATATCTGCAATATCAGAATAAAAAGTGAATAATAAATAAATCGCAATAATGCTATTTCACTGAGAACGCATAAAAAAAAAAACTAATTCGGAAAAAAATTTGGATAGGTTGCCACCATTCAAAAAAAAGTTTTTATATAAAAATGGATTTCTTTCATGTGTTATCGAATCAGCCAAGAACGGCTCAACGGATTTGATTAGTTTTTATTTGATTTTGTGTTTTTCTGTCTGTGGAAGGTTTGTAAGGAGAAAATTGGAAAAATCATGTTGCCAGATATCTGCAATATCAGAATAAAAAAACATAAATGAACCTCAATAATGCTACTTCACCGAGAAAGTACTAAAAAAAATTTATTCAAAAAAAATAATAATTGGTAGGGTTGCCATCATTCGAAAAAAAAAAATATGTAAATATGGATTGCTTCCGTGTGTTATCACATAACTCAAGAACGGCTCAAGGGATTTGCTTCGTTTTTATTTCATTATGTGCCTTCCTGTCAGTAAAATGAATGTAAAGAAAAAATTAGAAACCCGGTTTTGCCACATATTTCAAATATCAAAAAAAAAATTAAATTTTCATAAGCTGCAATAATGTACATTACTGCTTCGTTTTTATTTAATTTTGTTCCCCTCTGCCTGTAGAAGGTGAGTAAAGAAAAAATTTAAGAACCGTTGTTGCCAGGTATCTGTAATATCAAAAAAAAGAAACTAAATTAAAAAGCCGCAATAATTATATTTCACTGCATAAAAAATTTAATATAGAAAAAAATTTGGATAGGGCTGTATCAAAAAAATGTGTATTTAAATAAGCCGCAATAATGCTATTCTACTGCGAACTTTTGGGTGTTAAAATGCCCCCGTGGGTCCGCCACTGACTGGCACGTAGTTTAACACACAAGCTCCCGTGTATTCCGATTGGCCCAATGAACGTGATTTGCGAGCTTCATTCGGATACCCCAGGATTGAGTTGTCCAGGGGTCAGTCTCAAATGACCAGCACTAAATCTACCATCAGAACCATTACGCTACTTGATAAGAGCTTTAAGGTACTTCGACTGAAATAAGTCTGTGTATATTGGATTCCTGTAGAACAACGATACTCACCAATTTTTAAATTGTCACCAACTATACCATAGAGTTTCAAGAACAGATTCACCATCGAACCGGATCATTGTTGCTGCCAGGGAGTGAATGGGAAAAAGTTCTTCAAATTTATTTCGTTTTGCGATTAACCGTGCTGTTAAACTCCAGATCGTTGGAGAATTTCAAGAACTTCTTCACGAATATACACTTTCGTTAGGTTATTAAAGACGACAATGGAAATATGCCTTCTGACAACCACCAAAACGTTATATTAGCAGATAAATGTATCACTTGAAATCGTGAACGTGAATTGTTAGTGAAAATGTTGGACCCAAATATTTCAGTAAAAAAAATTAATTTTGTGCGGGACGAAGTTCGCCGGGTCTGCTTGTTTTAAATAGATACGTACGGGCGTTTCAATTTGGAGCGTCATCAGGGTTTTTTTTCTACATTAACCTGGTTGCAATTTACATGGTTGCATTTTTAGTGCTCACTATAAGCTCATACTCTGAGGGCAGCAAAACAATTTTATCAAAAATCAACGGACATTTTTAGCCACTTGAAGTTTTATTGGAATTGAATGCGCCACTGCTTACTCGAAAAGTTTCTAGAAGTTCTTATTAAAAACTTTAAAATTTGATAATTTTTTTAATGGGTTGAATTTTCATGAATTTTGTAAAAATATGTTGTAGAATGAACCATGATACAAAAAAGAAGGTAGTTTCATTTAATAGCATTCGTTGTTGTTGTTAACTTGTTCGTTGTTGTTGTTGATTTGACTTTTAACAAAATTATGACATTTCATCAAATTCATGCTACCTGATCACTAGAAGAAATTGTTTTTTTTAAGCAGAAGATTTTATCAGTACATCAGTACAAAAGTGTGGAATACGATGAACTAGAAAATTGTGCCGGTTGCAAGATTTCGAAAATGGGGTTGACGACAAGGTTTCAGAACGCATGAAGAAAGTATATACTTACATATCGTCGCTTAAAGTACAAAACCGCGTATCGTCGTTCTGCAAAACCGCGTAACTGACATTTTTTGCCAAAAATTGGATTTGCTGACACAAGCTCTTGGCTCAAGCCTTATCCATTCGTCCTGAAATGCGATTTCTTTGTAAAAAAGAGAACCATTTTGAAATATAAGTGTTTTTACTCTCTAGAAAATAATTTTATGCAACCTCACATACGCAGTTGTGCATTTTGTTGATACACGATTTTGTACTTTAAACGACGATCTCTTAGAGGTTTATCGGAGGGCGGTCTGTTCAAGCCGATTTCAGGTGTTTTGCATAAATTAAAAATTTGTGAAATTTAATTATGATGCGCTAATCACAAAGTTTAATTTTTTGCAAAATCTGATGAGAAATTTAAAAGCAAATTTGAACCAAAATATAAAAAGGTTTTATTTGCGAAGAACATTCTTTAGAATTCGATTTTTAAATCGCAAGATTGCATTCAAAATAAGAAAACAAAAAAAAAATAACAGAATAATGTGAGCGTGGTTTTAATTGCAAAATGAAAAGAACAATTACGATAAAGTCTCCTTTAACAGTTTATATTTTAAATATTTTTAATAAAAAAAGGTGCGAACCACGTAAGTAACAAAAGTGCCAAGCACTAATAATGGTTTTTGATTTGAAATGTTATTACATTGGTATAAATATTGGAAAGAAAATACTCCGATTTATTGATTCAACATTATCAAAGTGGCAAGGCCATTGATAATACTCACAATTTATGAAACTTCAGAAAATTTTATTATCCGTCAAAAGTTGTTTATTGAAATTACCCACAGTATACAGTAATCCAGATAGCCAAAACAAAAAAATGTAAATATGCTTATTTGACATTTTGTTTGAATGTATTGGTTGATATTTTTTCACAGTTGTCGTTTTCGTTAACCCAAACGAAATCCCATTTAAATATTTTCTTATAGTGAAACATATTTTCAAGTCACATAAAATAAAATAACGAGAAAAACAAAATTCCAAGCAAATCAAGCTTGAAGCGTAAGCGATTATAACCGGATGCAGTTCCTACATAAGTCAAACCGTGTTCCGAACACAACTTTGAGTGAGTAATGGTGGGCTGACTTTTTAAAATGGTCCCATCGATTAGGCGGTAAAACAAATATTACTTAGCTTAAGGTAGAACTCTCTAATTTTCAAATGCGCGAAATTTGTATGTATTTGTTCAGCCGCTTATTCACATTTGAAAGAGGATAATGCATGAATTAATGCAAGTAAAGACGGTTTATGCAGATAAGCAAGCGCGTTTGTTAACCGTATAAAATGTATGTACATATATACACATATGCATACATATATACCAAAATATTCAGAATGACGAGATGAACTAGTTCAGCCCTCTCTGTTTGTAAACACGCTAACTCGAACAAAATTTAGATATTTTAACGAAAGTCGGTGTCGAAGTTGCCTTTGGTATAAGTTGGTTAGTGTTAAACTTTGGCGAAATCTGCCAATAACCACGCCCACTTCCCACGTAGTAATAAAAAATCTTTTTGTTTTATTAGTATTTTTTTACGAATATTGCTGTTCAAATTTACATGTCAAATATATCAACAAACATTTGTGGATACTTGTGCATCAGTCGCTACCTATGGGTTAATGACAAATAAATCCTATACATTCACAATATTTCACGTATTAATTTTCAAATAAGCATATTGTTAATGGCTGGTTTACTGTATACTGTGGAAATTACCTTTTTTTTGTATCATGGAATGAACTATATTTTCATAAAAAAAAATAATGACAAAATTGTTCATGAAAAACATTGTCAATATTATATTAGAACAAGGTGTTTGCTAATTTTTGACTCTGGCCGTATATGTGCTAGGCATTTTCCTCCATAATGCTCCAAATGCTCAATACCGTCAGCAAAAAATTATTTCACGCGATTTTCTAGCGTCTTGAAATTTTCATTTTAACCTACTAAAATTTAATGGGCTATACAACTGCATACCTTAAATTTTTCTCAACATTTTTAATAAAAATTTAAAAATTTTGGGTGTAGTTAAAGTTTGTTTAATTTAAGTTGTTATAAATTTTATGCGAAGTTTGATATGTGGATTTATGTGATACTGGTTATGTAATGTGTTAAACTTTTATAAAAATGTAAAAACATTAAATAGACAGAAAAAATAGCCAAAACTGGTCAAAATGCCACTTAACTTACATCAGCTGTCCACAAGGGTGTGTACATAGATTACTTAATAGTCTCATTCATTATGATTAATTTGTTTTTTAACTGAAGAAACAAATTAAGGTTATTCGATTTTTTAGAATTTTTCATTGTAGATATCCTTTTTTATACCCCCGTCCGCCTTGCAAATTTCTGTGAACGGGCCTGTCTATCATTCAATATTATTATAGATGTGAAGATTTATCTTAAATCTGCTAGGCCAAAATTTTAATTAAAATTGTTTTTAATATTTTAGGACTGAGGAAAACATTTGCGAAGAGGACATATCCAAACCTATCAATGACATAGATGACGATTCTGAAAAAATGGAAATTGGCAAGCTTAAGCCAAACACTGGAAACGGTTGCACGCTGGATAAGTATTCGTGGACGCAAACTTTACAGGAAGTTGAGGTACAAAAATAAAATGTTATGGGTTCAAATATGGCACATATGTACATATACATACATACATACATATGTATACAGGTCGGCGTATTTCACTGCGCCGTAAAATCGTTTTCGTGTCGTTAGTCCCTGCCACAACATCCAAAGCTATTAGTTAATATTGTCTATCGACTTTTTCCTGAAAATTCAATTTTCAATATACTGAACTCGAGTCTGCATATCGCGCTGAAGGTAAAATTTGTAGTAGCAAATACATATGCATATTGTGTAAGAGCGCTGTAAGTGATCACACCGGCTGCCTAGAATATTCTTCTCCATTTTGTCAAATAAGTCAATAACAAATCCTCCGAACCATCGGAAATACCTCGAAATTTCCTCTTCTGCTTATAGTCCCTCAAAAGTTAGTCTATTTGTCTTTAAAAAATGCATTTACGCCATATCAACGCAAGTCGATAACATCAAGCAACTGAATGACGGATCCCTGCTTATGTTGGCCCGAAATGGAAGAGTAGCTGAAAAGTTCTTATCCAATCTCTGTCCAGTTACTGTCAAACTTTATGACAACCTTAACACACTGGCACTTCCGGCGGCTCAGTCACTCAAAAAACGTCAAAAAGTCAAAAAGTCACCAGGGTTTCGTGAAATGATAATTTTTTAGCTGTTAAATAATTCAACAGATACATATCGGGGCTGGTTCGTTTAAAATCGCTTAAAATTCGGTATGAGTAACCACGATCGGCAGTCGGTTTTAATTGCACACGCAAAGAAAAGTTCTATAAACAGCATGGCCGAGACGCAATGTGTCGTTGGCCGCTGTAGCCGAAGGTCGACAGCCGGTTCTACGTACCGGAATGACTCGGGTTTTACCCGACCATGGGCTGTTGTTTCGGCGATTCAACCCCGTTTAGGTCGGCGAAATCCCTCAAAAGTTTTACGCCCATATTACTACATCTTCTTCGAATACTTCTGCTCAGGGCTGGCTTGAGTCAAACCCTGGAGCAGAAACATACACCTGCTACGTGTGCCAGAGACGATTACACCACAGGTCCCCCTCCATCAGATGCACAACAGAGTCCGCCTGAGCAACTCAACACAAACACAACCGTACCACAACACAATAAAATAGATAATACCACAGACACATCAGACCACACCACAGATATAACTGCACGCCACCGCCAACAACTCCTAGTTCTTCCGGAAATCTGCACGCTGTGTCAGTCCAGGATATTCCGTAATGTGACATCAGTCAAGTGCAACACCTGCCTTGGCTGGTGTCACTTTAGGGTATGCTCAAGACTGCGCACCACGCGAGATTTGACGGGGGACTGTGCTGCTCGTTCGCAATCCCCAACTGCGACGCTGCCCACTAACACCACAGGGCAACCGCCTCAGCAGCAGCAAGCACAGCATTTGGCGGCTCGGCAACGTGCATCACTAACACCCCACATTCCAATAAGTCGAAGATTTTGCAATTCAACTGTAACGGACTTCAGAGCAAGATCGAGGAGATAACAGTCTTCATGGGTCGTCACGGAATATTAATAGCTGCGGTCTAAGAGACGGAAGCTGCACGGCAATACAACACTGTTGAATTGCGCCGGATACAACGTGCACCGTCGAGATCGCGAGCGAGATAATGGTGGTGGACTACCGTTCATCACACACCACACCGTGCAGTATCGTCTTATCGAAGCAGACATCGACCGCAGTGATACCATCCTAGAATGTCGGGGAATTGCTATCCAGTCAGGCGATGTCCAGCTGCTCGGCAGGATATCACCCTGAAATAGGTGCGCTCCTCAGAGGTATGGTAGTGGCTGACTTCAATGTGCACCACGATCTTTGGCATTCAAGCCTGTCAACCGATCTTAGGGGAACACAATTGGCTGAGCAGATAGACGATTCGACATTCTGCACAATGAACGACGACGCATCCACCAGGATTACGGGGAGCTGCTGCAGCGCGCCAGCCGATGAGCGCGACAACATTCGTCAGGCCGATCCCGGAAATCCCCGTATTAGGGATCTCAACTCGGAAATTCCGCAACTTGTGAACGTACATAAGGGGAAGGAATGGGAAGAGCATCTGAGGACCTGCAACTTCGCCTCTTGTGTGAGTAAGCTTTGGTCAACCGTGAGGACATTGTCCAACCCGACGAAGCGAGACGACAGAGTTGAAATGGACTTTGGTGACCATGCTTCGTCGGGGTCGGGCCCGGAGCGATGCGCGAGCTATTTTAGCCGGAAGTTAATCTTGCATCCTCCGGTGGATAAAGCCAAACGTCGAGTGACCAGAAGACTGCACAACTGCAGTGTGAAGTGAGGGTAGCCATCGGAAAGGCGAAAGCCTCCAAAGCCATTGGACCCGACGGAGTATGCATGCTGATGCTGAAAAATTTGGGTCCTACGGGAGTAGCGTACCTAACGGAGGTCCTCAACTTGTCAATGGCCACTGTCGTCATTCCAGACATCTGGAAGATGGGGAGAGTGGTCCCACTGCTCAAACCGGGAAACCAGCCAATAAAGGAGAGTCCTATCGTCCGATAACCTCCTTTCTCTGGTAGTGAATACACTAGAGGCCTTGCTACTCCCGTATTTTACAAACCACCAGACCCCAGCGAAGCATCTGCATGGCTTCCGTGAAGTGCACAGTACACCAACAGCACTTAACGCCATAAACACTCAGATAACTCGTGGCCTTAACTGTAAACGTCTCTGTGAGAGAACGATTCTAGTAGCGTTGGACCTGTCAAAGGCTTTTGACACTGTCATCCATTCCACGCTACTAGAAGATATAGAGGCTTCCTCTCTCCCACAGAGGCTCAAACGGTGGTCGGCAAATTATCTGAGTGGTCGACACTCGTCGGTAATGTTTAGAGACAAATCGAGCAAACGTAGAAAAATAAAACAGGGGGTTTCACAGGGGTGTGTCCTTTCCCCACTACTGTTTAACTGTTACATTTCAAAGCTCCCTCAACCACCAGAGGGAGTCGCGATTGTCTCTTACGCCGACGATTGCTCGATCATGGCGACTGGGAATGGAATTGATGACTTGTGTTCGAAAGTAAACGGATATCTCAATGACCTTTCTCGCTTCTTCACTGCAAAGTGTCTAGCCCTCTCCCCTACGAAATCCTCTGCGACCCTGTTCACAACCTGGACGAAGGAGGTCAGGCTACCGCTAGGAATTCACGTCGATGACACACCAATTCCGACGGTGAATAATCCTAAAATACATTCGACATCCTGCTATCCTTCTCTGCGCACACAACCGCTATTGTCAATAAAGTACAGAGCCGCAACAAGGTCCTCAAGTCGCTAGCCGGCAGTACTTGGGGCAAAGACAAAAAAACGTTGCTGGCAACATACAAGGCTATAGGCCGGCCGGTTGTAAACTACGCAGCACCAGTGTGGTCGCCGGGGACTAGTAGGACGCAGTGGACGAAGCCACAGACGGTACAAAATACAGCACTCAGGACAACGACAGGATGCCTCCTGATGACACCAGAACACCACCTCCACGATGAGGCAAAAATGCTCCCAATTAGGGAGCACAACACGATGCTCTGCAAGCAGTTTCATGTTGGGAGCCACAGATGTGGCCACCCAAATAGACAGCTGCTTGCAGAGGAGCCCTCGCCGAGGCACATCAGGAGGCATCTATTTGAACTGACGGAGGTTCATTAAGCAACCTCTGGACCCGACAGCTCATAGGCAAGCCCTGAACGGCACTCACAGGGACGCAGTCTCGAGTTATGTAGACTCAAGACCTGTGAATGCCGTTCTAGGCACACAAACACCGGACATTGACATGACGGAGCTCCATCTGCCTCGGGAGACCAGAACGACAATAGCCCAACTTCGCTCTGGCTACTGCAGCAGGCTAAATTCGTACCTGTGTAGGTTAAATGCGGATGTGCCGAACGAATGTCCGGCATGTGGAGAGACCCCTCACGACTCGAAACATCTCTTCGAATGCCCGGAAAACCTCACAACCCTAACGGCGTCGTCCCTATGGACTGACCCCATAGAGGCTGCACGCTTCTTGGGGCTGCCGTTAGTGGCACTCGACGACAACGACTGAGATATCAGCCGATCTGGGCGGGGTTTTTGTAGCCGCTACAACAACAACAACAACAACAACAACAATGAAAGAGGTGTGAATGTATTAGTGATAAAGTGTGAATGTATTGCTATTGCCTTCGCAAAATTGTCTCATGTAAACGCCGTGTAAAACCGTTTGAGAGATGAGTTGTAAACTCCAATAAATTAATGATAAAAGATTTTCCTTTAGAAAACCCGTATTGAGATTGCGAAATTGATGAAGCTATACACCCTCATTGCGAGAATCGTGTCGAATGCAAGTCGTTTTTCGAGAGTCGAATCGTATCAAAAATTTTGTAGGTTTTACGGGTTTTACAATAATGTAGTCTCTATCTATTATTTAGGTAGAACTGCTGGATTGCAATAACAATTTGTTATTCCCTAATCCACATGAATCTTGGTCAATAAAGAAATTACTGTGGTGTAGTGGTTATCAGTGCGCTCTACCATTACGCAGGGCCTGAGTTCAAGCACAGTTTCCGACCAATATCAAAAAATCAAAAAACAAACAAGTTTATTCTATTTCGCCCCTTGGCAGGCAATGGCAAACTTCCGAGTGTATTTCTGTCATGAAGAAAACTTTCGTCGGCGTAAAATTGTGGATCCCTCCCCTTTGTGTGAGAGGCGCACGCCACAAATCGAAGGCCAAATAATAATATATTGCTTAAGCTAAGCGCTAATATATTATTATTATTAGCATTTTAAAACACTTCAAGCATTTGTAGTTAATTCATTATCTCAATATTTTTTATCTTACAGGTTAAGATCCCTCTAAGAGTTTCATCTAATTTGAGAGCTAAAGATATTTCCGTTACTATAGGAAAAATGTCACTCTTCGTGGGCTTAAAAAACGAGGAACCTATAATAAACGGAGTGCTCTGCGCTGAAATCAAACAAGAAGATTCAGTCTGGGTTTTACAAGACAACAAAACTTTGCTCATTACACTTGAAAAGGTAAGTCACAACTAATGTAAGCTCGTGAAACTAATCGAACATCAGGTATTTTTAACCGAATTAAACGGGGAGGAAGGCTATCTATTCATCGGAATACTTTTATACCCGAGCGCGCTTGTGCACAAGGGTATTATAACTTTGTTCGCATAGCGGTTGTAACAGCCAAAAAGAATCAAGATAGATATAGACAAATGTATACATAGATGCTCAGCATGAAAAGAGAAATCGATTAAGCCATGTCTGTCCGTCCGTTCGTCTGTCTGTCCGGGTACACGATGACTCGAGTAAATATTGAGATATGTACACGAAATTTGGTAAGTAAGTTTCCCTTTTTACCTTCCTTTTATTAGCTCTGGATGTAACTATGTAATATTGATGCGCTTAAAAGATGCAGCGATTTCTGTTCTCAAGTTACATACCTGATGACAGTACGAATGACAAGTATAATAGGGAGGGTTTAGTTTTTTAAACTATAATTTTATTCCAAGGTAGGTTGGGATTGAAAAGGGGCGACATCGGGCCATGGGCGTAGCCAGGCCCTAGCCCTAATTTCTAAATTTTTGGCTAGATATTGAAATATATTACCACGAAATGCTTGCTTAATAATTTCGGTCCCCCCCTAACTTTAAGGTTTTTCCTATATATATACTGTATAACAAATTATACTCCCAACGCTAACCAAATAATTAGTAAATTGATTAGAAAAGTGGATATGTGGATCATCCGGTTCCGTATCAAGTTATTCTCTCTATGTTCAAAGCACTTCCATTTAAAAAGGTTAAAAGCCTGGCTGCAGTCGACAATGAGCAAAAATTTATAGTTCAATTGGTTATTACTTTGTCTTTATGTTTGTGTCATTTCTAAGCGTACAATCTGAGATTATGGATAAAGATATAGGCCGGTTGGGTGAACAGCCAAGACGTTTACTTCTTAAGTGTGACAAAACAAAATCAAGTAATATATTTTGCATAAATGAATATACCAGAATACAAAATCTGCATACTCAAAATGTTCAATACGTCCTCATATTTATACATACCTATGTGTATAATTTAAGATATTTCGCTGCAAAGCAATGATTATAAATTGTTAGTTTACCTTACAAAATTGCGGACGAATATTACAGAGTATGCGGAAAAAAGTTTATTTTTTTTCATTTTTTATTTTGAATAACGTCTGGTCCGGCTATTTGGTTTACCATACAGGTATGTAGAGCTATGAATTTAAAAAATACATCAGGGTTTAGTTGAGATATTCGCTTTTGACCACTGTGTTTTGTACATTTCCCAGTACTGCAAAGCTTTGGACTGCCATTCAACTGGGAGTGGCCCGCGTGCGCTGGGTTTGGGTCCCGCCACGTTGAAACCTTGCCCAATGAAAAAAAAAACATGCCTCGGATGATACCCCCTTTTTTTTGATGACGATCACGGCAAACATAGGAAGGAATATGATTTTAGGGTATGCACTTGGAATATCCGAACCCTTAATCGGGATTTTGCCTCTGCCCGGCTGGTTGATGTCCTAGGGAAAAATAAAGGATGACATCACCGCCATCCACGAAATGCGATGGATGGGGCGAGGAAGGTAAGCGTGGAGCCTTGCGACGTCTACTACAGTTGCCACGTAAAGGAGTACAATTCAGTGTTGGATTTGTGGAGGGAGAGAGACCGGCGTTCACTCTAGTGGACGAAAGTCTAGCCACAATCCGCATCAAATCGAGATTCTTCAACATCTCATTCATATGTGCCAATGCCCCGATAAAAGAGAAGGACGAGGCTTCCAAGGCTCTCTTATCTTAGAGCGTACATATTAGCTGAGGGTGATCGACTTCGCCTGGGCCCGAAACTTGGCAGTATGTATTACTGGGCTCTAGCATAAAAATACCCATCAAGCTACATGGATATCTCCGCATCGAAAAACCGGAAGCCAAATCGAGCATGTTGTGATAGACGGAAGGCATTCTTCCATGTTTTAAATGTAACAGATGAAACATCGACTCGCACTACTATATTGATGCATCCCGCTCATTACTGGTACTGAGGAGTGTGAGAAAATGCTTGAAATGCTGGCCGAAAAAACACCTGAAATTTTTAGTAGAGAGTTGAGCGAATTACGGAAGGTTTCAAGACTCTTGTAGGAACAACCATGGCGACCTAGTGACCGATGTCCAGAACGTACGCAGATTATGGAGGGAACACTTTTCGACCCTTTTGAATGGCAGAAGCACTGAAAGAAGTGGAGAAGACGAACCCGAGGTCCCAGTCGATGACGATGGAGTCGATATCCCAGCGCCTGACTATGACGAAAAGTGCCAAAGCTGCTTGAGCTGACGGCCTGTCAGCTGAGCTATTTAATTACGATGGCAAGGAGGTAATAAGGTGCATGCCGGACGACTGGAATTCAAATGCGCTCTGTCCAATCCATAAGAAAGGCGACCCCGCCATGCGTGCCAACTACCGCGGGATCAGCCTTCTAAGCATAGGTTGCAAGGCCTTATGGAATGTATTGTCTACCATAGACCAGGTACAATACGCCAAATCCTGGAAAAGACCCGCAAGATAAGGATCGGCACTCACCACCTATATGTCGACTTTAAAGCTGCTTTCGACAGCACTAAAAGGAGTTTCCTATATCCCCTCAAAACTCATACGGCTGTGAAGAATGACCTTGAGCAATACCACCAGCTCTGCTCTGTTGCCGTCCCCACCAGACGTGGTTTCAGACAGGGCGACTCTCTTTCATGTGACTTCTTTAATCTGATGTTGGAGAAGATAATAAGATCTGCAGAACTGAACCGCTCAGGAACAATTTACTACAAGAGCGTACAATTGCTGGCTTATGCCGATGACACTGATATCATCGGTAAGAAAAACCGCGAAGCCTGTCCTGGCTATTCCAAGTTGGACAAGGAAGCAAAGCGAATGGGTCTGGTGGTAAACGAGGACAAGACGAAGTATCCCTGTCATCAAACAAACAATCAGCACATTCACGCCTTGGCACCGACGTCAATTTTGACAGTTATAATTTCGAGAAAGTAGAGAATTTCGTTTACTTGGGAACCAGCATTAACACCGATAATAATGTCAGCATGGAAATCCAACGCAGAATCGCTCTTGCCAACAAGTACTGCTTGGGACTGAGTAGGCAACTCAGGAGTAAAGTCCTCTCTGTACGTACGAAAACCACACTATAAGTCACTCATCATGCCCGTGCTTGTATATGGCGAATTAAAATACCGCGGTTCAACTGGCTTGACCATGTCGTTCTAATGGACACCGACGCCCCAGCTCTGAAAGTATTCTGGCTTCACTTGGCATTTCCAATTGGCGTCAGTTGGCTAAAATCGCTTTGGCGGTTACAGCGCCAAATAAGGAGAAGAAGAAGTGAATAGATCTGTAACCTTATCAGTCACACAGTGTTATAATCCCCACGAAATCCTTGACGGTGGTACCGAGAGGGAAACGATACATGACGATAGGAAGTTTAGTTTGGGTTAAAGTCTCACACTGACGGGGTTAGGCTTTCGATGCTTCCTCCTCGTAAAATATACATGCTCAGTAAAAAGTTAACAATTTAAATCGACGAATAGTTTTATACAGTTACAACAGTTAGTTACAACATATTCACCTGTATTGGTTACCATAATTTTAAGCTATAATAAACAATTTTTTAGTAAGTAAGTTATTGGTTTTGAATTTTTTTTTTGTATGGCCCCCCCTCTTAATTTCGTTCTGGCTACGCCCATTCATCGGACAATAACCACGCCCACCTCCCATATAACGGTATTTTCGAAATATGCGAAAACTAAGATATTTCCGTAAATACTGGATCCAAATTATTGAAAGTTGGTACGCGAAGTAGAATTTTGGCATGAAAGAAAACAGTTATGAAATTTTTTGAAAATGGGCGTGGCACTTCCCACTTACGATAAAATGCTGTATCTCTGTAGTCCCTTTACCAATCCCCACCAAACTCGGTACGAGCATTACTCAGAGCCACACTAAGAAAGTCTTTGAAAATTTATGAAATCAGGAACCATGCCCACCTCCTATATAGCGGTAATTTACAGAAATACGAAAACTGCGATAAATTACTAACTATTTATGCTAATTTACTCAAAATCGATATATATAAGAAAATTCCGATATTTCAATAACTAAACACGCCAACTTACAACAATCTCTTAACAAGACACATTACGAAAATTCCGATATTTCAATAACTAAACAGGCCAACTTACAACAATCCCTTAACAAGACACAATATTATTGATTTTTGTAAAATGGGCGTGGCACCACTCACTTATGACTACATACAGTGGTCCACAAAATAATAGGAGTGCGTTATTTTGGTCAGGTTTTGCTATTTGCCTTTTGTTTATTTAATTTTTATTATTTTTATACAAAAGTCAAGCTGGGTATACAACAAACAACGACTAAATTCAGATTTCAACCTTTGTACAAAAATTATTAAAATTCTGTAAATTTTCACCAAAATATCAAACTTTTTAGTCAGAATCTTCAGAGAAAATTCTGGTATGCAGTTTTATAGCCCATTCAATTCTAGTCTGAAGAAGTGCAAGTTTCAAGCTGCTAAAAAATTCCGTTGATTTTTGGCAATTTTTTTTGCTGGCACTGTCCCCATATAAAAGAAAATTGTCGAACATACTTTGTATGGAAAAAACGTAAAACACCTTCAACCGAAAAAATTCTCAAAAATCAACGGAATTTTTTAGCAACTTGAAACTTGCACTTCTTCAGACTAGAATTGAATGGGCTACAAAACTGCATACCAACATATTTTCTAAAGATTCTGGTTAAATAGTTTGAAATTTTGGTGAAAATTTGCAGAATTTTTATAATTTTTGTACAAACTTGAAAATGTAAATTTATATGGTGTTTGTTGTATTACCAGCTAGGCTTTTACAAAAAAATACGAAACATTAAATAAACTAAAGACAAATAGCCAAAACAGGTTAAAATATCCCACTCCTATTATTT